GATTTAACACAAGCATAATGTTTAAATAATTTTTTTTTTGAGACAAGGTCTCCTTGTGTAGTTCAGGCTGGCCTTGAGCTCACTATGTACTCCAGGCTGGCCTCAAATTTGTAGCGAGCCTCCTGCCTTAGCCTCTCAAATGCTGGGATTACAGGAGCAGCACTGTACCTTGCTAAATAAATATTTAAGAGATTTTTGTAAACAAAGTAACATTTTTCCTAAAAATACAGAATACCTACATCTACAAAATAGTCAACTTAGAATAAATTTCCAGGTGTGCTATTTTCCTGCTGAAGTCAAAAACTACAAATTGAACACAAGAATTGAAGTATTTCTAGTAACTTATGGGATAAGTGGACACACTTATGTAAGATTTTAGGATAAACTGGCATGCGTAATATTTTGAAAAGCAAAGCCAATAAGCAAACAAAAAAACCTGAAAGCAAATGATGAATTCAAGGTCTTTCAACAGGACCCCAAACCCTATTTTAGTCATTATTTGCTCTATAAGGATAATAATTTAAGTGAGCTAATATATGATCATCACAATAGGGCTTAATTTTCTAACAATGTCATCTGTCTGCATAAAGATGAGAGGAAGCAACTACAATACCAAACCACAACAGCTTTTAAATTTAATTCTGATTTATAAACCAGAATTAGAATATATATGATGCTTTGCCAAATTTATATACAAACACTTCATATACACATATATGAATTTGACAAAGAATAAGCGAACAAAGATGCAAAGATATAAAACACCACTGACAATATTACTGAACTGGACTGTTCTTTGCAGTTAGCTTATTGTTTGCCTTTATTTTCCTCAAGTGGTTTCCAAACTTAAGGTGACCAAATACTTGGAAGTCCGGACGCCCTCCACAGACCATCCTGAGTTACCGATGCATTTAATCCCAACATAAAATTATACTAGCTATAGGGACAATTTTACCACCAAATGATACGATTTCATTATGGTTTCTACAGCTCAAAAATAGTACTACCGTAAAGATTTATTAGACCACATTTCATAGCAGGATAATAAATAACACAATCTGAATCAAGCCATCTAGCAAGGCATGATTCAGAGACAAATTGCTGAGACAACTGCTCAAGTTTAATTTCCTGCTGTTCCCTCTACTTTGCTTTTACCTGGCCTTAGCTCCTAGATCTGCTCTCTTGAATCCTGTTCATCGAACTTGGCCCCATAGCATCTGAACCTTGAGTCCTCCCTGTGAATATGGTGTTAGCGCACTCCAGTAGCTCTGCAGTCTATTTCAGTGAAGCAAGGGGATTGAGGTATTCGAGATACTGCCACCATATAATTTTGAGGTACAGTGCCCTCTCATAGGTAGTTTCAGAAATGTATATACTTGATGAGAATTCCTTTTTTTTTTTTTTAGGTGGGATTTTGAGACTTACCTTTTCCAAGTATTTTTGCTCCTTTTCAAAGCCCTGGTTCCTTAGAAACTGCTGCATGACCCCTGCGCTGTGCTCTGGATGTTTGTGTTCCCCCAACTTCACATGCTGAAGTCTAATTACCACTGTGGTACTAGGAGGTGATTACATCATGAAAGTAGACCCCTCATGAATAGAATCAGTGCCCTTACAAAAGGGACCCCAGAAAGTTGCTCTGCCTAATCCACCACGTGAGGACACAGCTAAAAGTGTCCAGCAAACACATGAACCAGGGCATGGGCACTCCCCAGACACTGACTATGCCAGCACCTTCATTGTGACTGTCCAGCTTTCAAAACTCTGAGGGATGCTTTTATTGTTTATAAGCTACCCAGTTTATGCATTCGGTTATAGTGGCACAAATGCATAAGACAAACCCCTATATTCTGGGTTATAATTATTAATAATAATAAAGTTACCTACTGAGTATTATTTGTCAGGTGTTGACACAGTTTTGAATCTTAGTAAGCCTATAAAGAGCCAATAATCCCAAAATTGTAAATAGAGATGTAGAAAAATTAGGTAATTTGCCCGCAGACGTGTGGCTATTAAGTGGCTAAATCAGGAACCCAGCCTGGACTCCTGAGTCCCATCCATGATCTCTTTGTCAGTCATCATGCTTTGCTATCACCATGGAGATCAATTTTCCGTATTATACACAGGCCTTAAGGGTTCTTTCCACCACTCTCACTTGAGATTGCTCTCACTCAGGTATCCAAAAATAAATTATTTCACTGCCACCTGCTACTAAGGGGGCGGAGCCCAAGGCTTATGCTAATCAGTAATTCTTAAAAGAATGGAAATGCATGCCTGAAAAGAATCCTGCTACACAATTACAAGTTGGCTATGGGTACAGTAACCCAGTGTTACTGCTTGGGTAGTAAATACCACAATATATTATTCAGATTTATTGAGGAATACAGTATTTCACATTTCTTGCAGACACTTCAAGTCTCTGCACTATAATTAAGCATGTGAATTTTAAAGTAAGAATGAACTATTCATAATTATTTTCCATGACCTTGAGGTCATCTTTACCAACGGTATGGTTAAGCCACACATTACAGTAGTGTTATTAACACTAATTCAACTTTCCTTGTTAAATAGTGGTTTTATATCAACAATCTAGGATAGTGTATTTATCCCATTTTCTTTGTGATTGAGTCTTGTTCAGTCTTGAGATTCTTTTAAAAACCAAATTGTTCCCATATTAAAAATAAACACAATTAAACTGCTTTAGTTTTCTAAAAGCATTATTCCCCTTCCAGATAGTATCATCCTGATGCTTCCAAATGTAAAATTTTTCAGGTAGCTGAAGTTTACATCTCTACTTATGACAGAAAATCTTTTGATGAATTTATTCTCACCTTAACTTAGCAGAGGAGCAGAAATGTATTGTTCCTTAACTCAGTTATATTAATATATATTGCGCATATATTAAGCTGTAATATAGTCACGTCTTTGGAGCTATCCTGTACAAGAAAAATATACTCATCACAATATAGTCCTTGCTTATCACAGACTTTTCCATTAGCAATAATTGCACCTTGGATAAACCTCATTGGCTACAATACTGCCACCGCACAAATGTTTTTTGGGGGGATTTCTGACTCTTTGGAGTTGACTGTGAGGCAACTTACTTCCCCTTCCACCTGATATCCTACAATTCTACCCTGCCCCCCAAATATGTTCACTGAAGTCATTACATATAATGTATGCATTATGTCAGTAAGGTTCTTCATGAGATTTGTAAGGCTCTCCAGGTAGGCTAAGACAGTTTTTCTTATATATGTTGTGGCGTCTATGTGGCCTATAGCACTTCTTAGTGTCTCTGTGGGCTTAAACAGTATTTTGATTTTTTTTTTTTTTTTTTTTTTTGGTTTTTCTCCGGTACCGGGAACCGAACTCACGACCTTGTGCTTGCCAGGCAGGTGCTTTGCCGCTGAGCTAAATCCCCAGCCCCTATTTTGATTTTTTTGTTTTCAGGTCTTCCTACCATTTCCCAACATTTATTGCTTAAAAATATTTTAGTGAAAAGTGTCTCTGAATCAAATTTTAATTTCCATAAATGTCTTGGGCAATGGCTACAAATTAACACGCAATTTCAACTGCTATTCTTTGGCAGTATGTTCAGAGAAAGGGTGACCAGATCTTCATACCAGGAATTATTAAGGGCTGCCAATGCGTTTCCTAGTGAGAAGCACTTAACTTTCCAGTGTTCATCATGATAAGAAGGTTGATAGTTCAAACAATTTATTGCTGCTTTATAGTTTACATAATTAAATGAAACGTGTTAAACTCAAGGGAATTTTAATAGGTTACTTGCAATTGTTATTGCAGGCAACAACTTGTACATGATTTTATTTCCAAATCCACAAAAAACAAATTTTATACAAATCAGCACTGTAAAAATGTCAATTACAGCCCCAGAGGCTTTGCTGGCAGAGTAATTGTCTAAATTCTAGGATATGGGAAACAGGTTTTTTTTCTGGATTCGTTTTTTTTTTTTTTTTTTTTTTTTTTTTTTTTTTTTTTTTTTTTTTTTTTTTTTTACAAAAAATTTACAAGTGAAATGTTACTACGAAAGTTTTTATAAGGAATTTTTGCAAAACATTTACATTTTACCATCAACTATTTCTGTTTTAAAATCATTATGTAGATTTAATACCCTATGCTGCACATCAATTTATGTGGGATGACAACTTGGTGACATGCATAAAAAAACACCACAAGGCATTAAAATGGAGACTTAAATACAAATATTGTTGCAATAAAACAGTTATAAAATTGAAAAATAGGACCTAAACATCATGCTTATCTAAGTTTGACAAATTAACTTTTTCTCCTAGATTACACACTTTTATTACTGCTCTCATGAGAGTGTGATAAATAATGACAACATCAAGTTCTAATGTAATCAGCAACACATACACAAACCTAACCAAAGAAAGTATACTATAAGAAAAAACTACTCTAACACTGGAGTTCTACCATGATAAATACATAGCTTTGCACTGATAATTACAAAAAAGAAAAGTTTTATAACGGTGGCAAAGGGAATGAACAGTGAAATGCCATTAAACAAGACTCTACTGCACATCTGTGCCCTATTACTTATAACAGCTATATCCCACTGAGTCAAATAAAGGACACTGAAATTTACGATTCTTGTAAGACAGAAAAGTGGACTCAGAATGGTATGCAGAACAGACTGTCAAAATATTTCTAATTTCAGTGGTGAAATGTGCACCTGCTAACACAAATTAATATATTTTATATGCTATAAAGCTATCCAGATTCAGTTTGATAAATTTATAATAGGCCTCATTGTTGATTAAAAAGTAACTTCCATTTCTGATGAACATACATGGATTTGCGTTAAAACTAGTTCAGGGAATAATGATGCAGAGTGCTCATACTTGGTATTAACAAGAACAAAAAGTGTCACTTGGAGGAAACATGATTAAAACATTAAGAAAGTTTCTTTGCATAAAAAAATTTATAGCACTGATTGTGTAGCATAATGATAAAATATATATTTGATGTTTCAGCTCCTATGTAATAAAATTAAAATTAACACTACCAAATTCCTCTGTACCAAACAAAACAACAAACTAATTCTGATGTTTTAAAGCCAGATACATCAGTTGTTAAGTGTACATTAAATAAAATATACAAAACAATTTACAAAATTCAACTAAAATTTAAAGACTTTGTTACAAGTCTACAAAAGCTTTAAGAAACTTGAAATTTATAACCACAGTGTAAAAATTTTTTTCCTTTAATCTCAAAGCTTTTTTATACAAACTGAAGGCACAAAAGACCTTCAGTTTTATATAACGCTACAAAGGGCTGGCCTAAAGTGTACATAGTGTAAACAGTGATCATTACAGTATTTCTCCTTCATCAAAAATACAAGAAACATCACAATTTTGGAAGCGAATTCGCATGAGTAGTACTTGTCCTGAAATAATAAAGAATGCATGAGGAAACATGGACCTATTTTCAAACAGTTCCCAAACCAATGATATTAATAAATCACAGGTAAAAATTTTAGTTCTCAAATGGTTGATTTCCTTTTATGGTTCTATGTAAATACTTACTAGAAATGAAGATTTTACTAATATTTAAGCTATTAGAATAATCCAATTTTTATCATATGAAACTTTTGGCCATCTTTCCTAATACAACCATTTTCTATAAGATCCTTGCATGAAAAATGAAATATATCTTTGTTTTTTCTTTAGTAACTATTTGACTGAAAAGTATTCTGACTTTCAAAAAATAATTTTTATTTCATAATATTGTATCTATTATACATTTGTTAGGCCGCCTAGATGTTTAGGGAAAATTCATTTACTGATAGAGCATAAACATATAAATTCCTAATTAACATTCTAACAGACTAGAAATAAAATGGGGTTGGCCAATTTTTAGTAAAGGAAAACAAAAATTATAAGATAGTTAAAATATAATTTTCTGCTGGCCTTGAAAAAGTGTGATAATTCTTTCTTTGGCTACCAAGTCAAAGCATAAAGAATTTTGCACATTGTCAACATAACTCATATTTACAGATATGAAACTACAAAACGATTTATAATCTATGCAAATATTTCCAATATAAACATTTAAAATGAAATGTGGTTCAACCTAGGGTTAGGAATATAATCAGTCCTAACTTTAAAACATTGCATGTTAAGTTGCTTCATTTTTCTTTCTGAAGCTATTATGTGTTTTAACTATTTTTCCCCCCACCATTTTCCTAAATTTTCAATCTAAAAATTTAACCTAAGATTTAGCTCTAAGTTCCTCTTTTGTCTCCAAAATGGAGAAAGTAATTGGATTTCACTGATTGTCTGAATACACACTACTATAATGTAGTGGTAATAAAGATCTGAGGTGCATCTCAGATTATTGTGTTGGAACTTACCTAATTTAATGTTTGAAGAATTTCTAATATTTAGAAAAGACGGCCAAAACTATTTTGAGTTGATTATCCAAAAATCAAGCTGAGGAAATATAGTATTATCCTTATCTTCAGTTAACAGTTTTCTGTCTATAGAGTAAAGGAAATATATGTAAATTATTATTGACTGAATTTGTAACAAAGTACTTTCAAAGAAAATAAGTCCAATTAAGGTCCAGCCTGCAAACTACTGAGGTCTGTCTTTTTAAACACATTAACACATGATGTTAAGAGAGAGGAGGGTTCCGTTTAAACGTTATGTGATATATTTCCAAATAACTACAATTTATACCATGAAGGAAATACTTTTCTATCTGTTTCCAGTATAACAGTTTGCTTTTTGTATTTTTAAAAATCTCAACACTTAAGGTGTTGAACCAAAACCCTGAAATACTTGAAAGAAGCCAAGAATGAAATCATGATTTCCTACTCTGTAATCCACTTAACCAGCCCGTTTCCAGATTTTCAAAGGTGTGTAAACTTAAGTGCAGCACTAGAGGTCTCTGTTATAAATAGCTTTTCAAAATTCTTCCATGTTGGTTGAAACACTGGGAGTTGCTGGGTTCGAATCTTGAGAAATGGCTGCGACGGTGACAATTCTTGGGGAGCCAAGCACCTCTGTAACCGATGAGTCCAGTTCCCCCGAGGTAACAATGGCAAGAGCTGTCCCACCTCCTTTCTTATTCTGGTGCGTTTTGACATGTTTGGAAAGGTGATCACTCCGCATAAATCTTTTAGAACATTCTGGGCATTCGAATCTCTTTTCACCTATAAGAAAAACAGGTGAATTTGTACACATTTTACTTAAATAAAATTGTAGTATTTAATACTTTCTCTTCTGGTCATGCTATAATTTTTGCATGGTGTGAAATTTTTCTGTATTTTGATCAGATGCACAGTATTTTTTTTTTCTTTATTCAAAGTACTATCAAATAAGCTGTGCAGGACAAGAGATAAACCATGTGAATGAGAATAAAAGGAGTTAAAGACTTACTTCTCTTATGGAGTAGAAATAAAAGCTCAAGCAGGTAAAATAACCATTCTGGGCCTCAGTTTCTGTGTCCACAAAAATACAATGGCTTCCAACATTATGATTTTAAAGATCTCTATCAGGCATGACAATATATAATGCTCAACACTCATGTCTGTTCTCTAAACCTGTTACTTGGGTTACATAGTTTTAATCCCCAGAAGTATGAGATGTCTTCAAACTGTTTTAAATGAAAAATTTAATGGTGTAGTGAGTTTTCACAAGGTAAAAATAATGAGAGGCAGGAACATACCACATTTCAAATGAAATAGTTTTTAGGTCTCACAGACTAAAACCGTTATTTTCTGCTATACAAAGTGATCCTTAAATATACTCTCTACAAAATGTAAGTGCTAGTGGAATTACTTTTATGTTTTCCAATAAAAACTAACTATAGAGTCTGCCAAAAAATGGTACATACACTTCAAGAAAAGACAAATAGCATGATGTGTTTTCAACAGATGGTGTTACCCTCATATGGCGGACCCTAGAGGATGCTGTATATCGCAGAAAACCCGCTACACTGCTGGCCCTTACAGAAACTGCATGTGTAGCAATCTTAATGATCAAGGTGACCCCAAGGGGCAATCTGCTGTACTAATAAATGTCTGGAAGCTAATGGTCACTACTTTGAGCACGTCTTGTAACTAAAGAGGATAAAGTAACTTGTATTAATCTCATGATGTCTCAATAAATTTAGTATTAAAATATTTACACGAATTTTTCTTTTCCTGAAGAGTATATATAGCTTTATGGTGAACTCTGTATATGTTAACTAGAAAAGAAAAAAAGGTCACTTTATTTCTGCATACAATGGATGAGACACATGAAAATTTGGTTAATTGGCACATCCTGATGTTCAAATGGTTAAGTATTGCAGATTTACCCTTCTGAAATTTTTATTTATGGGGATGAAATGATGTTTTTCCAGTTTGACAGTGATACTTGGATAAGAAAAAAATTTAGTTTGTTTGACTTCTTAGCCTTGCCTTTGAAGTACCTAGAGAAAATCTATGAAGTACCTAGAGAAAACCATATCAGGTTTTCCCCTTTTATTTGCTAAAGAATCAGACAACTTATTAATATTAGAGCAAGATTAAAGGCACCTGATTTACAGTCTAGGCTCTTTTTTATACTATACTGGCACACTGTAATGAGACACTGCTTTATTTTATAGCAATAAAAGTTGTGATTTATCAAATCAGGTGGGGATGACCTAAAAAGAACATGGATCATTCTGTACATAGCTGGAGATCAACTGGTACACGGTGGCCTCAACAAATATTTATTAGTTGTGATGTTCATAAACTTAGTTGTTTTTCTGACCAACATCTACAGAGTATCTACAGTGTGCCACAAGTGGTGATATGAAAAACGAACACGTGAGTCTCTGACTTTAAGAAGTCCCCATTCTCTTGAGACGTTTAATGCAACTATGTACTGCAGAGTTGTAAGTCCCAATTAAGAAACGAAGAAGTAATAGTTCCTAGCTACTGAGTAGCAAACCACAAGATGAATGAGAACTAAAGGTGACATGGCTAGTATGGCTAGTGTGTGGACTTCCTAGCCTGTCTACCTATTAAGTGGTGTGGGTATTCCATTAATTTCAAGCAATTAAAGCTGACAAGAATCTCAAATATGTGCTGCTTAGCTTTTTGGCTAAGATCAAGTGAAGAATCTCAAATATGCAAATTATGTTAATACAATTATACTTTCATTAGAGGAATTATTCATTTCAGTTCTTTATCCTTTTCTACAGTGAAGTTCTGTTTTCTGTTGTGTCAGATAATTTCTAAATTTCGCACCTAGCGTAAGCATGATCAGTATACCTCAAGGATGTAAAGACTATATATAATATCTTTTAATAACTTCTAAATACATGAATACTTTTTATAATTAATGCTTTTAGTTATCAAAACTATTTGTATTTGTTACAGTGGTAGGTGGAATGTCCAGACAAAAATGCCCATGTTCCAACCCCTGGAAGTTATAACCATGTTACATAGTAACAGGGACTTTCGAGATTTAACTAAGGTCATGGAGTTTAACACAGGAAAACTATTTTGACCTGGGCGGGCTCAATCTAATCACATGAGCTGTTCAAAGCAAACAGCTTCCTTTAGCTGATGTCAAAGAGGTTAGAAGTGAGAGGGCCCTGACGTGAGTTGCTGCAGGTCACATGGCAAATCTGACAAGAACATGAGCAGCCTCTAAGAGCAAACAATGGCCCCTGGTGACAGCCAGCAAAGAATGGGGACCCAAGTTCTGCAACAGCTGAGCTTAACTGATGATGTAAATGAATCTGGAAGCAGGTTCTTCTGCACAGCCTTCAGGAAGGAAGCCTGGCTGATACCATAAGCACTACACTTCGGCTGAACCTACTGGACTTGTGACCTAATGAACTATGAGATAATGTTAAAGGTGTGTAAAATATTTTAAAGCCACTGAATTTGCAGTGTTCTTTTCAACTTTGCTGATTTATAAAAATGGCTAAGTATTTTGCCAAATATTTACTATTTAAATGATCATATATTTTTCTTTTTCCATTAGTTACATGGTGAATTACTGCTCAAGTGATTTTCAATTGTTCAAACAGCCTTTTATTTCTAGAATAAACTCTACTTAGTTCTGATGCATTAGCCTATTCATGTACTGCTAGACTTGGTTTGCTAATCCTTTGCTGCAAATGTTGACACCTAGACTTATGATATTGATCTACAACATTTTTCTATACTCCTAGTAATGTATCTGCTGCCTGCTTCGTATGATAGAGGCTGAGAAACGTTTCTTCTTTATTGATTTTTAGAAAGAGGCTGTGTATAACTGATATTATTTCTCCCTTAATTGGTATAACTTAACAAATGCAATCATTTAGGTCCAGTTTTCTTTGATGAAAGTTTTAAACTACAAACCCATTTTATCCAAAAGCTGTAGGGCTATTCATGTTACCTATTTCTTCTTAAGCTTTGGTAGTTTCTGTCTTTTAAGGAGTTGATCCACAAATCTAGGGAGTAGATTGTATACATAACATTCCTTTACTAGTCATTTAATGTCTACATGGTCTTTGCTGATAGAGATAAATTTCTGTGGCCAGTCTGGCAAGAGGACTTAGCAATTTTACCTTTTCAGCAAACCAGAGTTTGCTTTCATTTTTTTTTTTCTATTGTTTTATTTTCAATTATTTCTCAGTTTCCTGTTTTTAGATTTAACTTGCTTTTCATTTTCTAGCTTCCTAATGTGAAAGCTTACCACAATATGGACTAAAGACTTTTCTTTTTTTTAACCAGTAAAGGGAGTTAACATTAAAAATTCACCCTTGCTGGGTTTGGTGGCGCACACCTGTAATCTCACCACTCAGGAGGCTGAGGCAGGAAGATCTTAGCAAATCCAGGCCAGCCTGGGCTACATAGTGAGTTTAAGGCCAGCTTGAACTACAAAGAGCCTGTCTCAAACAACTCCCCAATTCACTCTGAGCACTGCATTACATACATATTATTTTTAAATATTATTTTCTGTTAAAAATATTTTTAATTTTCCTTTAAATTTCCTCCTGACCCAGGGGTTCAGAAATATGCTGTTTAATTTCCAAGTGTTTGGAAGTTACTAGTTATTTTTGTTAAATTTGATTTCTAGTTTAATACAACTATGATCTGAGAACATGCTTTGTATGATTTCGAAATTCTTTTTAGTTTATTCAGGTGTGTTTCAAAGCCAGAATACTGTCTTCCTTTATGAGTTTTCATGTATTCTTTAAATACATAGTCAGCTGGAATATAATTTAAAGTAAGCTTTTATGTTTATAGTATATAGCTAGCTCTTTTAAAAAGAAATGCCATCTGACATTTGCTCCCTTTTAATTAGATGGTTAGACCATTTATATTTGATATAAATATTGACTTGACTAGAGTTAAATGTATCATCTTATTATCTGTTTTTTACTCTTGTTTTCTCTCTCTCCTTTTTTGGATTTGAATATTGTTTAATACTCTAATTCACAGAATGGATTCTATAATAATTTATGGATGACTAATATATTAGAATTACATTTTACTTTAAAGTCTTTTATTGTTTGCTCTGCCTTCCTTGAAGTCTCTCTTTAGTAAGATTTACTTTTAGGATGAAGAACTTCCTTGACATTTCTTTTTCTAAATCTTTCATTTGAAAATATCTTTATTTTGCTGTTGTTACTCAGGGTATTTTCACTGGATATAAAATTTTGAGCTAAAAGTTCTTTTCTTTTTCTGGCCTCCATTGTTTCTAAGGAAAGATTTGCCATAAATCAAATTTTTATTCCCCTGTTTGTGTCATCTTCTTTGGGGTCCTTTCAAGATTTTTTTGTTTTTCTTTTGTTTTTAACAGATGATGATATATCTGGGCATTGTTTTCTTTAGTTCCTGTTTTGAGATTGAGTGAGCTTCCTGAATCTATAATTTATACCCAAGATGAGAAATACTGTATCTTTTTATAGCTATTACATATTTTTTAATCTCAGCCATTATATGTTCACATTTTTCCTACATCAATCTCTTTTTCCTTTCTTTCTGGAAGACTGATGACTCATTTTAGATATTTCACTATATTCCACAGGTACCTGAGGTCAATCAGTATTCTGGCTTTGAAACACACCTGAATAAACTAAAAAGAATTTTGAAATCATACAAAGCATGCAACCTTTTTCCCCTCTTTTTTAGACTTAATAATTTCTAGTGCTCAATCTTTAAACTCATGATACATTCCT